CACACACACACACGCACAGACACACCACTCACACAAACACACACACATTTACTCACACACACACACACATCCACACACAGACACACACACGCACACACGTAACAATTATACCGTCGTTGTTGCAATTGAAGTCTGTTAACCTTGTACGAACAAATACACACATACAAAATGACAGACTCATGAACTCACGGGGTATCCGGGACGTCCAGGGGCACCAGCCTCTCCTGGCACGCCACCCTCTCCGTCAATTCCGTTCTCTCCTGGGGGTCCTTGGGGTCCGGGGGGTCCCTGGCCAAAAGAAAAATACAAAATTACTAAAATATGTCTTTAGAATCTCATATGAAAAGACCTTTCGTCATCATCCGTTGCGTTGCCGACTGGTGTGGGCGATCATGGATCTCCACTTCACTCTGTCTTGCCTTGCAGCAATGACGTTTAACTATGACTAAACAACTTTTGTTTTTCAATTTAGTTATGTATAGCGAGTGAGAAACTTTGCAAATTATCTCAAAACTGTGTGTAGATGGGTCAGTGCCTTGGAATTATTGGGTCGCCAAATCTAGACAGATCAAAGCAACGTGCAAGATTGCATTAAATACTCTGAATTCTATCAAAATTGTCGACGACGATGTTTCATTAATTTTAAAAAAATTGATCACAGAGTGATATCAAAGAGATTCCATTGTTTACAGTGTCTCAATTGAATCTAGCACAATCTCTTGCTACTCAAAGACTAACTAAAAATGATCTCAAGTTCACAGCAGACAATGACTTCTTCGAAAAACTACGTGCAGCGTTCAAAAAGAAAGAAGTCATTCCCCAAGTTTTATTTTTGTACAATTCCTTCATAGTCAGAGCAAAGACGCCCCTCGTTAAACGTTATGAAGTAAAAGAATCGGTAATCCTTTAATTAAGTAGCAGACACATGTGTCCGATCATAAGTCCATAGGTAATGCTTTTGAACATTAAAATTTCTAACTATCATACTACATAAATCATAAACTGTGAGTCAAACTAACGTACCTGGAATCCAGTAGGTCCCTGGGGTCCTACACCTCCTGGGCCGCCGGGCTCTCCCTGGAACAATCACAAAGACAGATTAGAGTGACAATATACGCATTTCTTTAAAACACGAGTTTTGGTAAGTTTAAGTAGCATTTTTAAGGCACTTGCAACACAATCAGATCTGTCATATTAATTGTTACCGTCGCTGCTTACAATAATGTTTTTTTTTTCTGTGGTCGTTATTAAAACCGCTGTAATTGATTTTTAAAATATTTTTTTTTTTACTGTAGTTGTTGTTTCTGTTAATTGAACTGTGACTGAATGTAAAACAGTCGAATCACCCGTCACGTTACCGTGGTTTCCTTTCATTTGGCTCTAACATCGCGTTCCATAGCGGACCAGAAATACGCTACAGAGCACGGTTTAAAATATTAAAAATACAAGTCTATACACCAAAGTGCACGGTCTAAGATATTACAATACTACAAGTCTATGAGTGTACCTCGGGTCCGGGCATTCCTCTCTCTCCGCGCTCGCCGCTGGGGCCAACATCTCCGGGGGGTCCTCTCTGTCCGGGGCCACCAGCAATGCCGGCCTTTCCTGGGGATCCCTGGAGGAGAACAAGTTCAAAAGATATCATTAATATTACGTGTCATACAATATATTCATACCTTCCTATAATGTTTCTCCAAAAACTTCATTTCCAACTCAGAATGAACATTAATATTCCACCAAATGTGAGGCAGCGTGGTGGAATCAGGCTCTCGTCAAAATCATCAAAGTGAAGAAACTTGCATTTTCCCGCAGGTTTGTGAATTTTTATCAAATTATTGTTTTTGGGCTCAACATCTTTCATGCTCATTAAAGAACTCATTTCTGTCTGTATTTTTCGAAAAACGTTGATTAAAGGCACAAAAAATGTAAATTTTCAGTTACCACGGACTCTTAAGCTAAGGAAATAACTAATCTTTGGCGGCCGTTTTCTCACTAATTTTACCTCTGAAAACAGGTGACGCCCACCTCCTTTTTTCGCAAATATCTCGACTTTTATTCAAGATAAATGGATATTTTTAAATCCAATTAAAGACAAGTGAATAAGCTTTAAGATGACACCAAATACTCTACATGACCAAAAATTGACGAGAGCCTGATTCCACCACGCTGCCTCACAAATACTTCTTTGTCCAACCAAGGACGTTCAGTTCTATTCAAACGTCCATATTCAACAAAAACATTTTCTATTCCATTCAAAACTTTCAAATTATATTCAAAGTTCACATATCTCACTCAATCAAAATTTTCTCTCGTTTGGTAATACTTATTATCTGTGTCCTGTGTTCAGTTACTGTTCCAGAAAGTAAAAAGCAACTCACTCTCTCTCCTTGGGGTCCCTGGGCGCCCTGGAGACCAGTAGGTCCAGGCTGTCCGGGGGGTCCCATTTGTCCGGGGCGTCCATCAGATCCAGAGGGTCCCTGAGGTGAACCAAACAAAATAGCTATTTTATACTATTTCAACGTTTACTGTGAGGCTTTAACGAGTTTTAAAACCTGATCTTTCAACAGAAATGTGATTCGACAAGAATCGAATTTACATGTACTCAAAATCATAACGTCCGTAAATTAAGCTTAAGTAAAATTTTTTATTGGTCTCATTTCATATGATTCATTACTATAAATGCAATTAGCAATACTATTATGTAACAAAAAAGAACACTCTGACAATTTTGAAAAACAAATCAATTGCAATACAGGTATAATGTTGCAATTTGTAATTCTTCACAAATTTTTAACCAGCTCTTTCAAAAACAATTTGGTATGTCCCAGGGAACAAAATGTAGGAAATTGTATAAGCTTAAGGATTCTTGCCACTTTCTACTTACAGGGGGTCCTGGGGGTCCGCTGGAACCATCAGCACCTGGGGGTCCGGGAAGTCCCTGGTGGGAGGATCAAAGGATGCTTTTTTAGTTTTTAGTAAACATTTTACGGCATTTGCAACACAATTAGGTCATACCATAAGTGAGGAAGATTAGATGTGTTAAAAGAGAGCCACAAAAAACAACAACAGAAGGAGCGATAAGGACGATAGATGTTTGGTCGGAGAGAAGGGGAAAAATACACTAGAGCATCATGTATAATTTTCTTGCTCAAAGGATGTGATAAGATCAATAAATGAGGAGAATTCACTTTTTTCCGGAGGAGAAATTCCTCGTTGGTATATAAAGAGAGAGCAAAAATAATTTAATGTATTATTATGCAAAAACTTATAAAGTGTTTAGTCCAGACAGGTACAATGTAAACCACAGTAGAGTCTTTCAATAAATACGAAGTTTTAAGACTTTGTCATAAATATAGGTGAAAAAGAAGAAAGAAAAAAAGAAGAGAACAGGAGAAAAATAACCCAGCAAGATTTGACTATAGAAGGGAAAATCTCCTCGTATATGATAACAGACAAAAAACCTCGTCCCAGTATATTTATACATTCCAAGCAAACTTCATGTTTACACTCGCCCCCTCCCTCTCTCTCTCTCTCTCTAATTTATCTATCTCTCGCTATCACTCTCCTGTTTATCCTCTCTCTCTCTCTCTCTCTCTCTCTCTCTCTCTCTCTCTCTTTCATACACACACACACACACACACACGCACGCACACACACACACACACACACACACACACGCACACACACACACACACACACACACACACACACACTTTTCTTCTGTTTCTCTCTCATTTTCAGTCTCATATCACACTGTTCTCTCCCTCTCAAAGGTGCAACAAAACCAAAATTAAAGATATTCCTCTACTTACGAGCTCTCCGCTGGGTCCTGGGGGTCCGGCTCTGCCGACAATTCCCTGGAAGAAAATTAAATAAACAATAAAACAATACAGTACATGACGTAGCGTAGATCACATGTTAAAAAAATGTTTTTAACCCCCCAAAAAGAAAACCCTTTTGTCTCGTGCATGCAATGGGGAAGCGCCTACTTATGCTTGGGGCAGAAAGTAAACAGAATCACTTAGACAAACTAAAGGTAATTGGTTAGTTTACTCTAGATTAATTACTTTGAGAAGCACATAGACACAGTTATGGTCATTCAGCGCAGTAAAAACGCAAGACAGACAGACAGACAAACAGACAGACAGACAGACAGACAGACAACAAAATAGAGGGAAGAAAAAAAGCAGGCCATACCACTGGTTTCCCACCCCCCTTTCCACATGGGAATTGAGTATACTTTAAATAACAGGTATATTGAACAATTAGGAGGTGCAGGTCACATCAGAGTGATCACCAACGACCATCTGACAAGGATGCCGGGACACGTCGTATCAACAGACAGACCGACAGACCGACAGACCGACAGACAGCCAGACAGCCAGACAGCCAGACAGCCAGACAGCCAGACAGACAGACAGACAGACAGACAGACAGACAGACAGACAAAGACGACTGATGTACTCACGGCACTGCCTGGCTCTCCACGGGGTCCTCTCTCTCCATCAACTCCCTCAGCTCCCTTAGATCCGGGGGATCCGGGGGATCCGGGCATTCCACGGGATCCGGGCACGCCCTGACGTCACACGCGAAGAAAAACGTTAGTGGAACGAGGGATTTGTGTCATTTTTCAGGAGAGTTCAGGTTGTTTGGTGGCTATAGGTGTGTGTGTGTCTGAGCCGTAAGTCCTTATTCAATGTTGATAGACCATATGAAAGGAAGAGAGAGAGAGAGAGAGAGAGAGAGAGAGACAGAGACAGAGAGAGAGAGACAGAGAGAGACAGACAGACAGAGAGAGACTGAGAGAGAGACTGAGAGAAAGAGAGAGACTGAGAGAGAGAGAGACTGAGAAAGAGACTGAGAGAGAAAGAAAGAGAGAGAGAGAGAGTCTGAGAGAAAGAGAGAGACTGAGAGAGAGAGAGAGAGACCGAGAAAGAGAGAGAGAGAAAGAAAGAGAGAGAGGGACAGAGACAGAGACAGAGACAGAGATAGGGGTTATGCTAAACATCTAGAAAAGTGTCTCAGAACTGCTCATTTCAATCAAGATCACAAATGACAACATTAGAACCCTGTGTTAACATGTTTTAAAAGTAGCCTTCAATAAGCTTACTTCTAATAAAAAAGTAAACATTTTAAGCAGATACCTTTAATTATTGTGATATTCTGACTCATGTGTTTTCATAATACTAATGATATTACGTAGTAGGCTTAATTATGCTGTCCAGTTCAATTTTATTAAAAAAAGAAATGGTCAAAGAGCGGTACTGTCAAATAGATATCATTATTTAATTGACTGTTGTATACGTGGAACATGGTTTATGAATATAAATTATCTTTGATTAAAAAAAAAAAAGAAGAAGCTCGTAATATTTATGTCCAACTGCTATTTGCTATTCTCATTAACTTCCAGGTTAGAACTTCAACTATATTATGACGCACTGCCTCATGAATATTCATACTTACGCGGTCTCCCTGGCTTCCGACGGGTCCGATGGGTCCCTGAGCTCCGCGCTCTCCCTGTAGGAAGTAAAATAGATTTGTCAAAATAGTCTTCGTAGGCAAAAAAAAAAAAGAAAAAAAAAGAACAAGAACAAGAACATCCTCCCCCCCCCGAAAATATAAACGAATAAGAAAAAAACAAAAACAAAAAAAACCCGGATACGTATAGTCATATTATGTGTTACTGGAAGAAAATAGTCTCGTTAACATACACATTCAGGTTACAACTCACACGCAAAAACACACACACACACACACACACACACACACAATCACACACACACTCACATACAGCGAGCGCACACCCGAGCAAACGCAAGTATCGACCTTGGTACACTGTAACCTAAACGAACATATGCACATACAAAAACATAAACAAACACATTACACACACACACACACGTACACACACACTGTGGGGAAACAACACACACACACACACACACACACACACACACACACACACTGTGGGGAAACAACACACACACACACACACACACACACTGTGGGGAAACAACACACACACACACACACACACACACACTGTGGGGAAACAACACACACACACACACACACACACACACACACACACACACACACACACACACACAAAACGTTCACTTTGGAACACTGTGGCATAAACAAGCAAACAAACAAACAAAGAAGCACAACAGCCAATCAACAAACAAAGTCCAACAACTCACTCTGGCTCCAGCAGGTCCGGGCAGACCGGGACGTCCCAGCTCACCAGCAGATCCTGGGGCTCCCTTCTCTCCAGCAGATCCCTTGTATCCGGGCACTCCGGGGTCTCCCTGGCGAGGTGAGCAAGTCAGCCAGTCAGTAGGCCAGTCAGTCAATCGGTAAGTCAGTATATCAGTCAGTCAGTCAGTCAGTCAGTCAGTCAGTCAGTCAGTCAGTCAGTCAGTCAGTATGTCAGTCAGTCAGTCAGCCAGCCAGTCATTCAGTCAGTATGTCAGTCAGTAGGTCAGTAAATAATAATGGGTTTAACCTCCTAAATGCCTGGCTTTAAACTGCATTAACTCTCAAGAAGCCCTATCCTGGTCGAATAGCCTCTGGATAAAATTTCATGTCTTCACACTTTCCTGTACATCATTCTAAATAAATCTGACGATTGCAGTGAAACCTGATCTAACGACCACTTGTTTAAGGGGTCTAGCTACTCACAAAAGCTATTTTCGTTGTTGATGCATCTTTTCAATGCAAACTTTTACATAATCTGCAGTACCCTCCAAGAAGTAATTCAAAACATTAACCAAATTTTCAACCCTAATATGTTTTGTAATACTGGCGGCCATATTGAAATTATATAGATCTAATACTTAGGAAAATCCTAAAATTTTGAAAACCAAAAGGCATAATACTAATTTTTAAAACAAATATAAATCTATTAGAAATAGTTATAGGTAACTGGCATATTTTTACATAATCTTAAATTTCAAGGACTTTAAAAGTGCGTGAGGAACTTTTTTTTGGTGGAAATTTTGAGCTTAAAAAGGCTTTCAAAAGCAGATTTCCCTGGCATCAACTAAATTTAGCAAAAAATCTGATTCAGCAGTGAACAAAGGTGTTAAAAAAGATGCTTTCCAGGAAATCAATAATTTCATCGAACATTGACCAAAAACGTTACCCGCTAGACGAACAAACACTTCCCATTTCCTCTCTTGCATATATCTTATAATGGCACGGTATAAGACGACCACCTGTCTGATATATAAAGACCCCATATAACACAATCATCGGTCTAATACAGCCACTTTTCTCCTTGGTAATGCGTGGTCGTCTCAGACAGTTTCGACTGCAGTTCCAACTATTGTCTCACCTGAGCTCCCTTGTTGCCTTGAAGTCCAGGGCTGCCGTTCAGACCGCTAGGTCCACGGGGTCCGGGGTATCCGGGGGATCCAGCGTTTCCAGGGTCTCCCTGAGGATGGACAGAAGAGGAAATGAAACAATTTGCTATGAGAGAGAGAGGGGGGGAGAGGGGGGGAGAGGGGGGAGAGGGTGAGAAGGATAGAAGGAGGGGAGAGAGGGAGAACAGGAGAGAGAAAGAAGAGAGTGTGTGTGTGTGTGTGTGTGTGTGAATGTGTGTGTGTGAATGTGTGTGTGTGTGTGTGTGTGTGTGTGTGTGTGTGTGTGTGTGAATGTGTGTGTGTGTGTGTGTGTGTGTGTGTGTGTGTGTGTGTGTGTGTGTGCGCGTGTGTGTGTGTGACATGCATTAAGAATGAGAGAAAAGAGAGAGAGAAGGAGATACGAAACAAATGAGAGTGAAATATATAGATCAATGTGTGTCAAGCTGAACAAATGAACAGACAAAGGGATCGACAGATTTAAAAAAATAGTTTAGTTTTCGTAGCAGTTTTATGGCATTTGAAACACAATCGGGACACACGAGTGCCTAGGATTAGAGACATTACCAGAGTGAATCAACAAACAAAAGAAAGTGAGGAGACAACGACGGTGAATAAAAAGCAGAACGTTCTTAAGACGTCGGGCGAACTCACCAGAGCTCCCTGCTCTCCAGTAGATCCGGGCATTCCAGTGGCACCTGGACGTCCGACCTCTCCGGTGGATCCTGGGCGTCCGTTCTCTCCGCGGGCTCCCTGGGGTCCGACGGATCCCTTGGATCCTGGGGCACCAGCCTCTCCCTATCACAGGCAAATTTCAAGTTAAAAATAATTGATTAAGGTTGCTTAAATGTATCCACAGGGTGGTTAAAGGCATTAATATTAGGATCAAATAATGATGAATTCACAAACAGAACAGAATTGAAATACAAAGATATGATGCTGTACATTTACCCTTTCAAAGACAGGGTGCTATTAATACAAAGACTGGACATTTATTAACCTTGCAAATACAGGATATTGTTATTAACCTTAAAAAGACATGGTAGTGTTTATTAATCCTACATAGTAGTGTTTATTAATCCTACATAGTAGTGTTTATTAATCCTATATAGTAGTGTTTTTTAATCCTACATAGTAGTGTTTATTAATCCTACATAGTAGTGTTTATTAATCCTACATAGTAGTGTTTATTAATCCTACATAGTAGTGTTTATTAATCCTACAAAGACAAGATATTCTTATTAATCATTAAAAAAACAACAACAACAGGATACCATTTACTAATCCTACAACAATAAGATAATTATTTTTACTAATCAAACAAAGGCAGCGTTTTGTTTATCAATTCGACAAGCCCAGAATATTGTTAATAACTCTTGTCTTTGCCGTCAGATGTAAAACAGCCCAGTAAAGGGACGCTGCGAAGAGCTGATAAGTCCGACGGTTCAGTACTGACCTTAGGTCCCTGTTGTCCGGGGATTCCTGGGGGTCCAGTGGGTCCAATGGGTCCGGGGGGTCCAGAGGGTCCGGGCATACCGTCAACACCACGGAGTCCCTGGAAGGTTAAATGTCATGTGATGTCACAGCTTCAAAACGACCCAACTACTACACTCATCTTATGTCTTTTAGAAGAATGATTGTATGACCATATATTATTATTATTTTGCTTCGGTGCCGGGGATTTCTTTCAGTTTCTGGTAAAGGTTAAACAAAATTATAGAAGTAATAGATTTATTTCTTTTATTTTTACACAAAGTCTGGCGACATTAAAGATAAAAACCAACTTTCCCAACCATTCTACATAAACACTTTTAAAAAGATGTATTTGATTTGAGCAATAATAAGCATACACCTACATCAGATAACAAACAGAAAATAGTGTATGGGGGTCAACAGTTTATAGGTTATAAAATTATTTTCAAAAAGACATGTGACAAACTCTACGACTGTTAGTTTTTCTCTTTTTTGTTGTAGCTTTCGAAAATGATGTGAGCTGATTTTGCTGTTGTTGTTTGTCATGTTGTCTTCACTTTTTTTTTGGTCATTGCTGCTGCTGTTAATGTCGTTGGTGCAGCACATCCAGGCCATCGAAAATGAGAAAGAAACGAAGGAACTTTCAACAATCAGAACCTAATTCGAATTTTAGGTGAGTCTTTAAAATAACAAAGTAATCCAAATGTAGTACTTACAGAGGCTCCGTTGGCACCATCCTCTCCTCTATCTCCGGGGGCTCCACGGGGGCCCTGGGGTCCGGCGGGTCCAGCAGGTCCGGGGGAACCAGAGTCTCCCTGAGGGGTGAGGGGTGAGAGGTGAGTGGTGAGGGGTGAGGGGTTGAAGGTCACACGAAGAGGAGTCGGTTTGAAAGTTTTCCGAATGAAATAGTATACTTTGCATAATGAAGTCCGAGATTGTGTTATTTTAATTGTATGAAATTTAATGAACTTTAGACAGAAAAAGAGGGTGGTAACTTTTGGTAATAATGTTGAATAATGCGCAACAGAACTGAGATTTTGTTATGATTTTTTTCAGGAACATTTTTAATCGAAACAAACACAAAGGAAAACTTGAAATCAAATATTGTGTTTCAATGATGTGAAGGTTGAAGGTTAAGAGCGGGGAAGGTAATTTTAATAGATATTAACATTACTCATTTTAAATGTCAATTGTATTCTGAGAAAACTACGAGGAACCAATAAGAATAAAGTTCAACATTCAATCATCGTCTAAATAAATGTTTAAGACTCACGGGCTCGCCAGAGGCTCCCTCGTTTCCGCGCTTTCCTGGGAATCCGTTGAATCCACGATGTCCCTTCTGTCCGGGCATACCGGGCATTCCTGGGCCACCGTTGGGACCCTGGGGAGGGAAAGATGGACAGAGTGACGTCATTGTCAGATTTCGGGAAAAGACATTACGAGCATAGAAATGACAAGAAAAAGGAGTAAGAGTTTCGAAATTGCTGACTTTAGTGCTCAGATGCAGATGCAGAGTCACTGTTTTTTGTTTGTTTGTATGTTTGCTTGTGTGTTTGTTTGGTGTTCTATTTTTTCTCGGG